TGTGTGTGTCTGTGTGTGTGTCTGTGTGTGTGTCTGTGTGTGTGTCTGTGTGTGTGTCTGTGTGTGTGTCTGTGTGTGTGTCTGTGTGTGTGTCTGTGTGTGTGTCTGTGTGAGTGTCTGTGTGAGTGTCTGTGTGTGTGTCTGTGTGTGTGTCTGTGTGTGTGTCTGTGTGTGTGTCTGTGTGTGTGTCTGTGTGTGTGTCTGTGTGTGTGTCTGTGTGTGTGTCTGTGTGTGTGTCTGTGTGTGTGTCTGTGTGTGTGTCTGTGTGTGAGTCTGTGTGTGTGTCTGTGTGTGAGTCTGTGTGTGTGTCTGTGTGTGTGTCTGTGTGTGTGTCTGTGTGTGTGTCTGTGTGTTTGTCTGTGTGTGTGTCTGTGTGTGTGTCTGTGTGTGTGTCTGTGTGTGTGTCTGTGTGTGTGTCTGTGTGTGTGTCTGTGTGTGTGTCTGTGTGTGTGTCTGGGTGTGTGTCTGTGTGTGTGTCTGTGTGTGTGTCTGTGTGTGTGTCTGTGTGTGTGTCTGTGTGTGTGTCTTTGTGTGTGTCTGTGTGTGTGTCTGTGTGTGTGTCTGTGTGTGTGTCTGTGTGTGTGTCTGTGTGTGTGTCTGTGTGTGTGTCTGTGTGTGTGTCTGTGTGTGTGTCTGTGTGTGTGTCTGTGTGTGTGTCTGTGTGTGTGTGTCTGTGTCTGTGTCTGTGTCTGTGTCTGTGTCTGTGTCTGTGTCTGTGTCTGTGTCTGTGTCGGTCTGTGTGTGTCTGTGGTGTCTGTGGTGTCTGTGGTGTCTGTGGTGTCTGTGGTGTCTGTGGTGTCGGTGGTGTCTGTGGTGTCTGTGGTGTCTGTGGTGTCTGTGGTGTCTGTGGTGTCTGTGGTGTCTGTGGTGTCTGTGGTGTCTGTGGTGTCTGTGGTGTCAGTGGTGTCTGTGGTGTCTGTGGTGTCTGTGGTGTCTGTGGTGTCTGTGGTGTCTGTGGTGTCTGTGGTGTCTGTGGTGTCTGCGGTGTCTGCGGTGTCTGCGGTGTCTGCGGTGTCTGCGGTGTCTGCGGTGTCTGCGGTGTGCGGTGTCTGTGGTGTGTGTGTCTGGTGTGGTGTGGTGTGGTGTGGTGTGGTGTGGTGTGGTGTGGTGTGGTGTGGTGTGGTGTGGTGTGGTGTGGTGTGGTGTGGTGTGGTGTGGTGTGGTGTGGTGTGGTGTGGTGTGGTGTGTGTGTGTGTGTGTGTTGGTGTGGTGTGGTGTGGTGTGGTGTGGTGTGGTGTGGTGTGGTGTGGTGTGGTGTGGTGTGGTGTGGTGTGGTGTGGTGTGGTGTGGTGTGGTGTGGTGTGGTGTGGTGTGGTGTGGTGTGGTGTGGTGTGGTGTGGTGTGGTGTGGTGTGGTGTGGTGTGGTGTGGTGTGGTGTGGTGTGGTGTGGTGTGGTGTGGTGTGGTGTGGTGTGTGTGTGTGTGCGCGTGGGTGTGTGTGTGTGTGTGCGTGGGTGTGTGTGTGTGTGTGTTTGCGGGCGTTGTGCGGCCAGTTGCCGGCGTTTTTCACTACCCAAGAGTTTATGGCAGTTTGCGGGCGTTTGCGTTGTAAACTAAAGCACCAGAACATAGAACTCTTTAGAATGTCAAGGATAAAGTAGGTAGAACCCCCGTAATATCCCCAACCTGACGCTTTCTTGAATGGTGCTTTCATCGGCCGTTGGCGGGCAAACAAGTCCAGACCACCCTAGGAGTCAGGCACCCCCGATTGCCTCCAGGTCTTGATCACTTGCCCAATTCGAATCGACCTTTTGACCTTTGATAGTTTCCCCTTTTTGGTCCATGAGTTATGGCCCCAAAAAGTTGATTGACCTTTTGACCGTTTCCCCTGTGCTGGTCCATGAGTCATCCCCAAAAAGTTGACCTTTTGTGTCCAGGTCCCTTGGGCTGAGTTAACCCTAAGCTGGATCGAAGGATCGAGGCCACCGCCGGGGAGCTCGCAGCCCTCAAGGAGGAGACTGCATTTCGGGCCGCCAAAATGGACATTGCTTAAATTGCGACAATTTGGACATGATTTAGGTGGCCTTGTTGAGTTCCTCACACAGGATTCCTGTTGAGTTTCTTGATCAAAAGTTGTGCATGCAAAAACGGTTTCCTCAAAGAGCTCCACTAGCCATTGACACTGCAGCAGGCCAGTTTCCTCCATGTGTTCTAATAAAAGGGTCCCAGCTATGAAAGGACAATCATGTCGCATGCTCGACCCCATTTGTTAGAACCCGTTTAAATCCATGTAATCAAAGGTGTCATATTTTTTGGGTTATTTTGGTCAAAAATCGTGGCACTGGTTTAGGTTGGTTTCATTCCATTGGCCAGGGCCATCTATTTTCCCAAAAAGGACACCTATGCATGTAATGCCTCCCAAATCAGCTGGTAGAAGAACAAGGTCAGGACTTCGCTTCAGCTTCCAGGACTCCTCGCGTTTAGACTCCGACTGCCAAGCGCTCTCCGAGCTGGCCGCGCAGGCAGAGAGGCGTGCGCTGCAGGCGGATGGGATTGAACACGGGGCCATACGGGCCCATGTTACCACAACGGGTCAAACTTAAACCACCACAAGACCGCAGGTTTTTAGTCCTTGGTTCCATGTACCAGGGCTCCATTTTGGGTACCTATTTTGGACCCGCAGCCATTTTGCGATTCCTTATTTTCCGCCTAGGAAAATATGCTATTACTGTGTGCAGACACTATGTAATACACATGGGGGGCATATGGGCGTATAGTTTGCAACGGCTTTCATTGGTACAGGAAAGGCTGGCAGAGCCGAGGGAAGTTTCAATCATATCAAGTAATAGCTAGTTGTTATTTTTGTTTTATTATTTCATAGTTCTTTATTTGCCTTGCTTCTATTTGTTCCTTCTCTTTTGGTCTCTGTATGGTTACTTTTCTTTATCTGTCTCTCTCTCTCTCTCTCTCTCTTCCTTATTGTTCTCTTCTTGATCGTCCTTCTTTCTCTTTATCTTCTTTCTTTTTCGCTTTACTTGCATTTGCATTGTTGTTAGTGTTTGTCTATTTATCATTGTTGTTAGTTGTGTTTTATCTTCTTTATGTTCTCTTCTTTTTCATGTTGGTTTATTTGTTTGTTTTATTTGTTCTTTTCATTTGCTTTATCTCTCGTCTTTCTCTCTTTCCTTGTTTGTTTCTCTTTATCTTCTCTTGATCTTTCTCTGTCTCCTCTTTCTTTGTCTCTTTCTCATTATCTTTCTCCTTCTCTTTGTCTTTCTCTTTGTCTTTCTGATTCTGATTTTCTTCGCACCTGTCAAAGAACCTGACCTGACGCTGCAAAAGTGCAGCGCCTGCCACGACATCCGCTCCTCAGACACTGCGCGCGTCCAGCGGGAAAAGCAAAAACCAGCAAAGGGTTTTCGCGCCACGCGCCCTTCGCATTATCCAATTTGCAGATTTATCGTTTCTTTATCTTCTCTTTAGCTACGGAGAGCTACCTTCAATCGGTGTCGGTAACGGAAGTTCCAACCCCAAACTTCCTTTGACAATGCAAGATGGTCTCTAATTTTTTGGGTCACTGGGATCGGATAGCCTCCAACATGGTTTGACCGTTGTAGTGATAAACAAACAGTTTGGTTACTTCTTTGGCTAATGCACTCAGGAAATGATTTTTACCGAGCTGGAGTTACGGACCTTGCCATGGCTTGCTGTCGATGCACCAGTTAGGTGGTTTATCCCAGAGGGCTTCATCTATCCCAAGTGGTGCCGGATTTTGTCCTCCCACTGTATGGCCCTGAATCAGTGCCTATGGCTTTGTTTGTAAGGGCATTCCTCATACCTATTGCGAGCACATTGGACACTATGTACGGACGAATCTCCACCGCAATGATGTTTTCCAAGGGTCCCTAATTAAGATTCGTTCATGCCCATGTATGGAGGGGGGCGCCCACGTGTTTCAGGCAGAGAAGGAGGTGGCGGAGCTGCGTGTTGAAAGCCGTGAGGCGGAAGGCAAGGTGGAGCGCCTGAGCGGCGAAATCCACCGAGCCTTGGAAGGATGGTGTTTAAGTTTTATTTGGGGGGAGTTGGGGGGGGTTGGGGGGGGTTGGGGGGGTTGGGGGGGTTGGGGGGGTTGGGGGGGGGGGGGTTGAGGGGGTCTTTGATTGACCCTTTGCGCGTTCCCCCACGAACCAACAAAAGACACTTTTTATTGCGGGTGACACATTAGGGGATCCCCTGTGAAAGGTGGAGCACAGCTGCGCCAGCCACAAAAGGGGTCAATATTCTCGACCCCCCCGCCTGCTGAGCCGATTGGTTACAAACAGCAGCGCTGCGGCCTGGAGGAATTGGGCGAACGCAGAGTTAACACGTCACGCGCTGTAAAAAAAAAACGCGCGCTGTAAAAAAATCGCGCGCTGATGCACGAACTGGCCCGTGTAGGGATGGTAACTTCCCGGTCCGATGCGAGTTGATCTTGCGAACTGGGGGCTGCCTGGTGGCTCCACTTTGGTCTTTAGGACAGCGAGATTTAAGTATTGAACTGACCAGCACCACAGGAGTAATTTGCGAAGATGCAAGGGTTGACCTTTGACATGTTGGTTTGTTAGTCTTGTTTCAGAAGTCATAGCGTGTCATAGCCACAGCAGACCATCGCTAAGTTTGCTTTCCCCACCCTTCGGGCAAGCGACAAGTCGCAGGTGTGGCTTGTGTCATGTTCACTCTTGGGGCGGCGACAAAATGCCTCAAGCAGTTTGTGTTGCGGTAGCTTGCCTTTGCAGCTTGGTTGGTTTGCACAGTTCTGTTCGGCACCATCCCACAACAGCCGTTGAAGTGGGCTATGTTCTTTCAGTTGACCCGGAGCTGCTTTGTGTTTGTTTGTGCTTGTTTGTAGTGGCTGCTGTTACATGTTTCCAGGATTTTTGGCACTTGTCCAAAGTTGTGGGTGTGGCATGCATGTTTGCAGATAAGAGCCCCGCAACGGCATAACATGGGCCCGGGCAGAGCCTAACGTGGTTGGTGATGTTTCGCCGGGAGCGAAAGTGCCGAATTGTTCGGATGGGATTTGGGAGGGGTGTGGGCAACATGGCTTGCTGCCATAGGCGTCCTTTTTGGTTGATTTAGTTGAAAAATAGAGGGCGCTTCCTGGTTTACCTGGTGGTGCAATCAACTACCAGGGAAGCCCATCTATTTTCAACCAAAAAGGACACCTGTGTTTGCAGGGTTTTTCCAAGGAGTGTCACAGGAGCTGGACTTCAAGGCCCCTTCCAAGGAGGTGGGGCCGGTTGGCAGCCCGAAATCCCTGGATTTGGACAAACCCCAAGCATCGCGGGAGGGCTCATGGAAAGAGCTCCAGGTCCAATGTGTGTCATGGTGATTGTTTGGGGGAAAGGCCAACTCAGATGGCTGGCAGCTGTACCGCTTGCTTTTGAGGATATGTTGGCCAGCAATCTGGATTTGTTTCGGGGTATGTCCTATCAATGAATCAGTGCATGCTCCGCTTTCGTGTCACACACATGCTGCAGTAGATCAACTGGTTCTGACGGACCAAGGAGTGTGAAGTTTGAATCTCAAGCTCGGACATGTTGCAATGCCTATCAAAGATTTCGCACCCGATCGCAGTTGCAGGAGTCATCAAACAAAGCTCAGATGGGTTGTGGCAGTTTCATTGCAACTTATTTGGGGCTTTCTCAACATGGTGGAGACTTTCAGGTTTTGGCAGTCAAAGGGAACCAAAAGGAAACTGTTGTGGTTCATCGACATCATCAACATCATCGTCATCCTCATCCTCATCATCATCATCATCATCATCATCATCATCATCATCATCATCATCATCATCATCACTTTCAGATTCAAATGGAGATTGACACCCATAGTGAGAAGTCGGTTCTGGAACTTTGAACTGTGAGTATCTAACGGGGGCCGATTCTTTCGCATGTTTCCCGGAGGTGCAAGAGCTGGAGGAAGCCCTGCTGCGTACCCAGCAGGAGTTGCTGCAGGCTGAGCGTCAGCTCTTTTCGGAGCATGCCAGCCGCGCGGCACAAAAAAAAGAAGCGGCGAGGCAAACTGGCTATGGGTCAAACATGCGTACCCAAAATGGAACCCTGGTAAATGGAACCAAAGACTAAAACCTGCGGTAAGCTGGTGGTTTTATTTGACCCATACCCAACTCAAGGTGGGGTGTATCTTCAGGGGAAAACCAGGGACATTCAACAGTTGCGGGGGTTTCGACGTTTTGGCCGAGGCCAAAAGAAACTCGATCAACCATTTGGGGTGGGAGACACGCCAGCGTGATTGACCTACAACGCATTTTTGTTTTGTCTTTTTGTGGGTTGGCTGTTGTCGAGTGGCAGGCTGTGTGTTTCCTATGTGTGGTTGGGTTTCCTTCAATCAATGGATGCCTCCCAAGAACACGGTGCAATCATGTTGGTTTAGGGTGGGCAATTCAGTCGAAAGCTGCCCGCCCTCCGCCACACCCAAGTCGAATGTTGGCAAGTCTCAGGATCATGTTGTTGAAACATGCTTGGCTTTTTTGTGCTATGCTCCAGCTTCTAGTCTTGAAGTGCTCCCAGCTCGGCTCCGATTGGTGGCTTGAATTTGGTGCGCGGAAGGCGTCGAGAAGCGTGCCAGTACGTAGCTGAACATTCATGTTACATGTTTGTTGAGTAAATCAGGCTCGTGTTGTATTTCTGTCTTGTTTTCTTTGCCTGTAGGGCGGCGACCTGACTACTCTCGAACATGTTGTAAGGCTTGTCGGATCCTTGTGCGCTCTGATTTTGCTTTGTGCGACTCGAGACGTGTTTTTGTGGTTGTCCTGCGCCTTCTCTAGAGAAACCGCATTAAAGAACTGCAAGTAAAAGCTGTGTCAAGCGTTCAGCTGTTGAACGCCTGCTTCGCTTTCTGTTGGTTTGGGCTTTTTGGCCGTCACATGTCATCGGTGCTAGCGGCGCGTGAACTCGTTTGCTCGCTTCATCCTGCCCCGGCCAATGGACACTTTCCCCAAGCCCTAACAAAGCCTCAAGCTTGATTTCAGGTGGGGCGCACGCACTAGAAGTTTGCCATGGCTTTTGCAGGGTGCCTCTTACCGTTGCGATGCGAGCTTCACGCGGCGTTGCGTTTTTATCAACTCCGGGAGTTGAGCAGGCCGTTGTTTTGCAGAACGAGCAGCAAGCAACCAGGTGGCAGTGCGCCCGGCCGAGACGACCATTCCTGCGAAGGATGGATGGAGGACAGCAGGGTGGTGGGATCGGTTGGGGTTTATGCAACCACTTCTGTGACATCTTCGGGAATCCTTTCTGTTGTGTCACAGAAGTGGTCATTTCCCACAGCCGTGGAGGACAGGTTTTCACAAGTTTGGCGGTTGGCAACGGGAACACTGGATGCGAACGGTGTCACGCATACCCACTTCTCCAAGCCCGACCTTTCGCCCCAAAGCCGTCTCCAGTCATGGTCGCAAAAGGGTGGCGCAGTATTCCAAGGTAGGCTTTGACCGACAATAGGACAATCCCCAACGATGATACGGGCAACAGTTAATGTTCACCATCCGGCACTGCAACAAGGGACGTGACATTGGACACATTCACAAAACCCGCTTGCATGCTCCAATGTCAGCTGGGGGCCCCCGTGGGTGCCCCAAGTCCGTGTCAGGAGCTTGAGGAACAAGAACGTGCCATGATGGCTTTATCCTCAAGAGCCCTGGCGCATGAGCGCATGGTTCTAGTAAACGTAGTTTTGGGGCCAAACGGTCCCGTGTGCGTTTGTGTGTTTGCACGTGTTTGCTCAGAGTTTTTGGATTTTCCTTAGTAATGTTGACCTACGATTAGTAAATAGACCATGAATAATGCTAAACTATTTCAAAAAAAAATAATAAATATACCATGAATAATGCTAACCGTTTTTTCCCAGGGGAAAAAATATAAAAAAAATGAAAAATAATATAAAGTAATTCAAACAAATAACCTTCCCCCCACAAGAGTGAATGAATCCTGAGTTCCCAAGCTCACAAAAGAACATAGAATTCCCATTGGGATCCATGCAAAATGCAGATTTTTATTCAGGGTCAGTGCTCCCAACCCTCATCCCCCATGGAATTTGCATGGTTTCATAGTGAATTTATCCAGGGATCATGCCAGGGAAACCTGATTTACCATGGGATTTGCATGCTTCTGGCATCTAATCTTTATTCAGGGTCAGTGCTCCCAACCCTCATCCCCCATGGAATTTGCATGGTTTCATAGTGAATTTATCCAGGGATCATGCCAGGGAAACCTGATTTACCATGGGATTTGCATGCTTCTGGCATCCAATCTTTATTCAGGGTCAGTGCTCCAACCCTCATCCCCCATGGAATTTGCATGGTTTCATAGTGAATTTATCCAGGGATCATGCCAGGGAAACCTGATTTACCATGGGATTTGCATGCTTCTGGCATCCAATCTTTATTCAGGGTCAGTGCTCCCAACCCTCATCCCCCATGGGATTTGCATGGTTTCATAGTGAATTTATCCAGGGATCATGCCAGGGAAACCTGATTTACCATGGGATTTGCATGCTTCTGGCATCCAATCTTTATTCAGGGTCAGTGCTCCCAACCCTCATCCCCCATGGAATTTGCATGGTTTCATAGTGAATTTATCCAGGGATCATGCCAGGGAAACCTGATTTACCATGGGATTTGCATGCTTCTGGCATCTAATCTTTATTCAGGGTCAGTGCTCCCAACCCTCATCCCCCATGGAATTTGCATGGTTTCATAGTGAATTTATCCAGGGATCATGCCAGGGAAGCCTGATTTACCATAGATTTGCATCAGATCTAATTTATTCAGGGTCAGTGCTCCAACCTCATCCCCATGAATTGCATGGTTTCTAGTAATTTATCCAGGGATCATGGGAAACCTGATTTACATGGGTCTTCTGGCAGGGTGCTCCCAACCCTCTTCCCCCATGGGTTTGCATGGTTTTTCTAGTGAATTTATCCAGGGATATGCCCCTGATTTGTGGTTTGCATGCTTTGGCATCGTCTTTATTCAGGTCATGCTCCAAACCTATCCCCCATGGAATTTGCATGGTTTCATAGTGAATTTATCCAGGGATCATGCCAGGGAAACCTGATTTGCCATAGGATTTGCATGCTTTTGGCACTCAATCAATCTTTATTCAAGGTCAATCATCACTCTCAATGCTCATCTCCCTCCCTCTCCCCCTCCCCCCATCCTCCAAGAGCAGCAGTAGCAAATGACCACCACCACCACCACCATACCACCACCACCACCACTACCACCACCACAATCCCTTTCAGCCCTGGTCCTTCAATCTTGGGCACCTTATTCGCGAGGAATGCCTCCTTCTTCATCCAGTAGGCAAATGCCTTCATGGCAATGCACCTCAGGCATCCAGTCTGAAATCTGCATTTGCTGCATGGTGCTAATCTTGTCTCAGCCATCCTGATCTCCATGCTTGCCTCATGGCTCAAATCTGATGCCCTGAAGAACTTGCTGTTCTCATTCATTGCCTGCATTGCTACTAATGCTGAATGACACTTCATGTCATTCAATTTATTCAATTTCTCATTGGCTGCTGCATATGCATCATCCTGCTTCTTCTTCAGGTTGTATGCTTTCTTCTCAATGTCCTGCATATGCTGATGTAGCTTGCTGGATTCTGTGCTCAATACCTTCTTAATCTTCTGCATTCTGATCTGCCATTCCTCCTTGATTGCCATTGGCCATCCCCTAGATGCTGGGCCTTCAACATGGGTGCATGCCTCAATCTCCATGTATGCAATGACAAAATATCCACAATCAGCTCCTTTCTGGCGAACATGGTTCCTGCATTCCAGTTTGATATTTGCTGCATTCTCTCCTTCAAACAGCTTCACAATCTCATGGGCATACTTCAGGCATTCAGGATGTCCACCTTCCAAGGTGTCATAGTAATGCCACTGATCCCCTTTCTTCACCAATAGGGTCCAATGCTTGGGCGCTCCATGGGCAGGGATTGGGATGCACAAAGTATCAACACCTGATGCACAGTCCAGGATTTGCCCCTTGACCAACTCATAGCCAGCCTCATCCATCTCAGTCATGTTCACAGTCAGCTTTCCCATCAATGCTGGATCCAAGCACTGCACAGACTCAGGAATGTTCAATTGCCACTGCATCCATGCCCATGCCAATACAATGTGCTGATCTTCCAGGTATGTGTCTGCATCTATCCCAAGCAAGGGGTATGTTGTATCAACAAATGGCTCTGGATGGGCAGCTATTGCTTGCAGCATGCTTTGCAATGATGCCCTTGTGATATACTGAAAGGTCCTGTATGCTCTGGGTTTCTTCCATGTTGCATCTTCCAGCATCAGGAACTCCATCTGTGTGCTAATGACACCCTTCTCTGTCATGATGCTTGCTGTGCCATCCTTGACATTGGACACACTCCCTGATCTTCCATACTTCAAGGGGCCTGCCTTTTCTGATACCACTCTCACGCCCTTCCCAATCCAATCATGGAGCTCATCACCAATTGCATCATCACTTTTCTTTGCTGGGATGTCCTTCTTCATAGCCTTGAACTCCAATTTGCTTGACTTCTCAGCCTCCTTCTTCATCACTGCCTTCTTATCTGCCTTCTTCTTCACTGATGGCTTTGCTATCATGCTTGGCTTTGAGCTTGCTGATGGCTTGCTTGCAATGCTAAGCTTCTTCTTCTTCATTTTTGCTAGCATTGAGCTCTTCAGCAATACCTTGCCAATCCTCTTCTTATTTGTGCTCTTGGCCACAATCTGTTCCAGTGCCTCTTTTTTGCTCATGCTGTCTAATAGCTTTTTGCTCATATGCTTCCTGGCTGATATCCTGATCAAGGATCTGTGCACTGATTTGATCCTTGCTTTCTCATGGTCTTTCATGATGGTGGCCCATGTCGACTCAAGCATTCCTCTCCTGTAGAACTGCCTCCTCAACTTGGGGCTCATCCTGAGGAATAGGGAGTTCTGCATGGGCAGTATCATCTCTTCATTGAGCTCATGCACAATGTCCATCTAGCTTCTCATCCTTCACAGGATCCTGTCCTTCCTTCTTCTTCTGGTGCTCATCTGTCTGATCATCTCCTTCTTGATCAGGTTCAGGATGGCAGTTGGACCATTCTATCAAGTCAGTGATGGCTGCTGCATCGTTGCTGATGGAAAAGTCAGGAGTCAATGGCCTCCCTGATTCATCCAACCATGAGTGCCTATGCTCCCACCAATCTGCTGGGATCCTGCTGGTGCCCATCTCACCTTTGATTGGGACCATCTTTCCTTCCTTGATCTGGTAGGCAATCAAACCATTCCTCTTGGCACCTGATACTACCCAGTTGGTCTTCTCATTGAGGACTGCCATATAATCCTGACTAGCGATTGAAGCCCTGATGATCTCTGGATATCCAATGCTGAAGCCCTTGTCTGATCCATGCTTCCTCTTGAATTGGACCCTCATCCTATCCAGCTCATGGGTGAAATATCTTTTCCATGCTCTGCTGCAATCAGTGTCTGTAACCCGAAGTTGTGCTGTCATGTGGCCCAAAATGTATGCAGGTGCCTGATTCAGGATGTGCTCTGCTTGCATTGTTGCATCCGCAAAATTTGCACTGAATGAGTCCTTGATGTTGATGCCACATACTTCCTTCTCTCCTTGCTCCATGGCAATCCACTTCATCAGAACTCCATCCACATTGCCACTGGGTTGGGACATGATGATGATCTTGCTAAACAACTCTGGCTCCTCATTGCGAAGATTGACAATTGACTTCATTGATCTGCACTGATGTCCTTTGCTGTGAATGATGGTGGTTCCCCCCACCTCAAACTCATCATCTTCTTTATACTTTCCATCTTTATCCAGATTGCTAAGGCGCTGATGTGGTCCTGCAAATACTAATAGCCCACATGCCACCTCACCTGTCAATTCTCCATCCACCAGCCCATAGATCTTTTGTCTGGCTTCATATGTGATTCTAAACTTCTCCTCATGAGGGTTGTGATGAGACAGCTTCATTCCTGATACCAACTTCTTCTCATCTTTTCCCTCTCCCTCAGCTGATGTTATCACTTGCTCCTGTCTCATCTTCATCACCTGCTGGGCTGGCTCAATCTCCTTTCTGATTTCTTTGAAATTCACCTTGTCATCATACCTCATTCCTGTCAGCTCCTGCTCACTGAATATCATCTTGGTATGCACAGCTTTGGCCCATACAGGGACTTGATCGCTCATTGTGATGCACATGTTGTGCCTGTTGCTGATGACCTGGGATGGGTTGGCAATGCCTGAAGCTCCTCCTCATCTGCAGCGCCCATCAAATACAGGATGCGATCAATGCCTTGCCATGTCAATTGTGCTCTTGCTCTGCTCTCAAGGGCACTGATCTTGTGGCTGAGCTCCTTCTGCATGAATTTTGCATTGATCCAACCGATCAACATTGATGTGTAATTGCGGCCATATGTGGTTCTGCTATCCAATAGCTTATCCCTTCTCTTGATAGCAGCTTCTGCTTCTCTTTTCCATTGTGCTGATCTGGCCTGCATGGTAAGGGAGCTGATGGAGCCTGATGCACTCTCGCCATCCTGTGTTCTCTTCATGCACTCCTGGGCATGCTCTGTGAGATAGCAACAAAACTCTTCTAATAACTCCCTTTTGCTCAGATGATGCCCATTGCTTCTTTC